TTGAGAAAGGTAATATCAAAACCATGCCAAACCGAAGCATGCCAGCTGATCCGATTCCTACTCCTGGAGCTCTTCTTCTGGGTGATGCATTCAACATGAGACATCCTTTAACTGGTGGTGGGATGACCGTTGCATTGGCGGATATCATTGTACTCCGTGATCTTCTAACGCCAATTCGCAACCTTAATGACAAAGAAGCTTTGTCTAAGTATATTGAATCTTTTTACACACTGCAAAAAGTAAGCACCTTTAGTTAAAGTTATCGCTTCTACTGTGTTGATTCAATTATTTTTTAGAGGACTTATGTGTGGCCTTTCAACAGCCTGTAGCTTCCACCATTAATACGCTGGCGGACGCGTTGTATAAGGTCTTTTTAGCATCTTCGGATGAAGCAAGAACGGAAATGCGTGAAGCTTGCTTCGACTATCTTAGCCTTGGAGGTGTTTGCTCATCTGGTCCAGTTGCATTGCTATCTGGTTTAAACCCTCGTCCTCTGAGTTTAGTTCTCCACTTCTTTGCTGTGGCGATCTACGCTGTTTGTCGTTTAATGCTACCATTTCCTTCGATTAAAAGCTTTTGGCTTGGAGCTAGGATAATCTCGGTATGTGGTTCTTCCCATCCTCTAGAACAGAATTACTTCTACTATACACAACCTCGCAAAGAAGTTTGATCTTTGATATTTTTCTTTTTTCACAGAGTGCTACAAGCATCATCTTTCCCATAATCAAAGCTGAGGGAGTTAGGCAAATGTTCTTCCCGCGTACTATCGCTGCCATATACCGTACTCCTCCTTCTCAATGATGCATCAAGAGTTAAATAGATTAAATGATCTATGCAGGCAAATACTATAAATTTTAATCTAATATCTTAGTTGCTTAATGCTAATGATGTGGGTGTTTAGGCTAGATAGCTCCTTAAGTATATATGATTGAGAGCAAAGAGTCTTGTAAGTGCATCAATGGAAAACACCTAAGTAAATCCGAATTTGCTGACATCTTCTTGGACCTTGTAGCGTAAATGAAAAGAGTTCCGGTGTTGTTAACTGTCAGCATGGTGATCAGTCTCATCATATATATGTCCTGCGATATTAGTCCAATAACTGCGGGAAAAACCAGATAAAATTCTCGGATTCTACTACTCCAATTTCATTTTCTCCTTCGCCTTCTCAATTGTTCTTGTTTTTAATGGTGATCGATGATGCTATGTGCAATATTGAGGACAATATGAATAATGAATCTCAATGTACATCAATCGTAGTAACTAGGTGAGCAACCGCTCTACGAGCGGGATTTTGCTTTATTTATTTTTAAAATTAATGTTGAATATTTTTGTTGATCAATTGTGTGTTTATTAGTGTTATAAATATTCACTTTTTATACAATGTATTTCCTCTTTTATAATTTACTTTATGGATAAAAATAAATTATAAACCTATGTCCGTAGTAATAAATTAAGGGTGGGCAGAAAAATCTTCTCGGAAAATCGAATCCGAACAGTAATTAAGTGATTCGTTTTGGTTTCGTTTTCTTCAAAACACCAGTTCGACTACTTTTATTTAAAATATTTTAGTTTCGGTTCGGTTTGGTGTTAAACAGTAAAACTTTTTTTTTTGTTTATAAACTTTTATTATTATAATATCATTTGTTTGGTTAGCTTTTAACTATCTTTGCAATATTTTTTTCATCTTCTTGCTAATATAAGTTACATGAATAAATATTCTTAATCTAATGATATTTCTTCTAAAACATTTATATCAATACGTTTGAGAAGAGGAAATAAAATTAAAAAATGATATCTTTCATAATAATATTATGCTTAACATTTAATTGGTAAAGTATGTTGGAATGTACTCATGGTTTCATCGAATCTAAATCAAAGATGATACAATTCAAGATAAAATTCCAATGTAAAAGAGTGTCTTAGTTTGTATGGCCAGAACATTGATTGAGCAATATAATTAATTTGGTGCACAAAAAAAGAAAAACTGAAAATAATCAAAATCGAAGCAAGCCGAATTGCATATGATTTTTATGTGGTTTTCTTTTTACCAAAATAATCAAAACCCATAAACCGCAAGACCGAAAAACCAATCGTAACAAATTCAAATTACATATGGTTTCTATATTGTTTCAGTTTTTATAAAACCGAAAAAACATATGAAGAAAACGAAAAGAACCGATGAAGATGAACCGAATGATTTTTTTTGGTGATTCATTCATGAACATGTGACACTCTTTGGTATGCTAAAGTGGCGGAACGATGAAAAGAGTTGGCTGGCTTTCATATATATGATTACAAGAATATTATAAATTGTTATAGAATTACTTTCTTTTAGGATATCAGGCAGAATTTCTTTTTGATTTTTTTTTTCTTCCACTTCTTTCCTCATAGCAGTGGCCGTCATTGTTTCACCAGATTTCACTGAAATATGACTATAATTAAAACAGAAATTTGTAATGAAATGTATATATAATAGTCAGAGTTCAGTTTTACTTGATTAATATTTTTTTATGACTTAAAAATAGGAATACTCACCTAGAGGTTGGTATTTCAATCGGTGAACCCAAAGCCTGGCTTTTAAAGAGTCGGTCCATGTCCTAATTAAATTTGAACATCGGTTGCTAGGAGCTAGGGACAATGTTTACTTTGCTCTAGTCTTTGGTCCGAAGAGATGTAGTTGTGACCATGTTACGATGGGCCAGAATTAAATGAAAGATATAGGCCTATATATTTAGGAGGTTTTTTCACAAAACAATTTTTCATTTCGTCAGTTTTTGCACTTTTATCTTCTATCTCAGAAAAAATGTAAACCAATCATAGCAAATAAAAAACGATATGTAATATAACTATATTTACGTGTCTTCTAAAAGATTTCATGGCCACTACATAAGATTTTCAATATTTTAAAGGTAGATTTGAAGTTTTCGTTGCGAGGGCCTCAATTTAAAATATTAATTTTTTCAAACTTTTACGAGTTTCGAAAACGGGTAACATAGCGTACTACTTCTGATTTAACGGGATTGACCTTTAACTTTTAGAGATGAATGATAAAGTTGCGAAAAATGATGATTTGCATGTTTTTTTTTTGTTGTATAAAATCCTATTTAAAACAAAATATTAAGGGCTTTAAGTGTAGCTCCAAAGCCTATTCTATTCTCAACATCATCAATACTTGGAATCAATGAGGTCGTGTTATAGCTAAATTGATTTCTAGATTTGGTGAGCACGACAAAACCAAAAAATTACATAAATTATTGGATGAACTATTTGCAACATAAATCTAAAGCAGAAGAGCTTTCAAAGCAAGGCTGGATATTTTTTTTGTTGGTAACGCTAGTGAAAAGTTTATATTTATTGCAATGTTTCTAAAATGTCCTGCTTCAGTCGAAAGATCCATTTCAAAGCAACAACACTCCATGCTTCAATGTTGTGTATACTCTTTGTGTTCTTAAAATTGACCCACATTGGCATCTCTCTATGCAGACAAATTTAAGGCTCTAATGGAATCGAAATTGAACATATCATGTGTAAGTGTAGTTTTTCACTTGAATTTTGTTAGTCCTACTGATTCGAGAGATGTTGTTATAGTCTCGAATGGCTTTATATTGTTGTCAACTAATTTGGCTCCTTTAAATTTTGCAAATTGTAAGGATATAGAAATGCGTTATTTTCGTTGACTTCATGAATGTGAAGACAATGTAGTTATCAATCGATCGACCAAATTTGCAAGTTGTTAAAAACAAGAGCCAAAAAGGAAGACACATACTTCGAAGCCTTCTCACTATAGAAACTCTAAGAAACCGTATTTATTATTACAAGCTTTTGTCATTAACTCAATAAATCGTCGTAGTTATAATGCAATATATAATGTAACATTTCAAATAACATTATTACCATAAATTAAAAAAAAAAACATTATTACCATATTCATATGAACAATAAACAAACTCATACGTTGTTCACTGAGATCGGATTGTTTCTATGTGTATTCGAATCGAAGGAAATTTCAAAGATATTAACACTTTTATAATCTTGAGCTACAAGTATGATACATCTTGTTGGATATAATTTGAAAAATGTTGTTGTGACGACAAAACCAAATCAATTTTGTTTTTGTTTTATTAGATAGTAAATGACAAAAGAAGCCAAGTAATGTAAAATTAAAGAAGGGTCCTACGTTATGGAAGAGGTGAAGCAAGAGTTGGTCCATAGCTCCTAGGATATATGCGAGGACCAAGACAACGTGAACGTCATCTTAGTTGTCACTCATTTTCATATGGACCCTCTTGATCTTAATCATCATTGTAAGAATACAATAATTAAGTAACATGCACATTTTTATACATACACAGAGACATTACTCTATGGACAGAATAGAATAAGCTGTTGCATATTCAAAAACATAATTGTATAGGTTTTTGTTTTTTTTTAAATATTGTAGAGGTTAATTTTTATGTGATGATTAATATGCATTCTGTTTCAGAATAAATATAATTTCAGAGTAAACATTTTTTTTAAACATGTGTCATTTTATGATTTCAGTATCATTTTGATTAGAAATATAGTTTGTTCATTCTTATATCATAATAAGACTAAATATTTTTTTATTTTTTTTTGTCAACTTCAGAAACATTAGTTTTAAATACATGAAAGATAGTCTGCCTTGATTTCCAAATCGTGTTTAAAATATATTATAAATCCAAACACATCCACCTTGTAACTTACTTTTCTTAATAAACTAATAAAAAATTATTATAAATAAGATTATTAATAAAATTAAATAGCACAAAAATTTGGGCAATTGACAAAAATAGCACCAAAAACATTTTTTCCCAAAACTAGCATAACATTTCTTAAATTCCACAAATAGCACCTTCAACTTTAATTAAACTTTAACTAAAATAGAAAATGAGAGCATACAAACCTAATATTAAATTGAATCAAAAAATTTTTTTTTTTTTTTTTGGGCAAACTAGAAGTGACATTAATTAAAAAGGAGATTACACTCCCCTAAGGGAGGAAGAGTTTGCTGCAATCAATGCAGTCTTTGCTAAGGAATCAGAGATTACATTGTCCAACCTAGGGACGAAAATAAAAGAGATAGATGACCACTTTGTACTTAGACAAAAGATGTCATGGATGATAGCTTTGAGTTCTTTAGAACTAGCTTTGGAGTTGAGGATGGATATCAGGACTTGAGAGTCCGAGTGAACTTCAAGCCGCCTGATAGACGCGAGGATGGGGGACCTCGACAGCGCTGTTAGTGAACTCCGGATGGCCAGAGCTTCAGCAGATAGCGCGGAACCTACAAAGCCTCGAGACATAGATGATCGGATAAGGGTGTTCCCCAGCGGGTCCAAAAGGATCCAGCCTTGGCCGCAGTTTCCTGTGGGAGCACTCCATGCCGCATCGACATAGCATTTGTGGGTTGGAATGTTATGCTGCGTAGTCAGGGGAGCTACGGGTCTAGCACGTTGTTTTGGTAAAGCTAATTGAGCTGATTGCCACTCGTTAGCTTCCTTTAGGGATTTCAGAATTATATCCTGTTCTGAGAAGGCTATGTCTTCAAAGATGAGGAGGTTCCTGGCTTTCCACAGGTTCCACATAATCCAGGGAGCCATAGGAGTTGCATACAGACCCAAGGGGGGCAGCGCAACAGATAACAGAGCCTTGGTTAACAGAGCTTGGAAGTTTGGGAAGGTACCTGCGAGAAAGTGATGGTACAGGGGAGCCGCTGACCACACTCTTTGCGTATAAGGACAATGGAGGAAGAGGTGGAGTTCATCTTCCCGCTCTCCACATCTTTTACAACAGAGTGAAGTCATCAAGCCTCTTTTTGCCAAGTTGCTGCCTAGGGAGAGAGCTCCGTTAGATGCCTTCCACAGGAAGTTTTTAATTTTTGGGATCACTTTTAACTGCCAGATGCTCTTTGTCCAGCTAAAATCCTTAGGAGGCTCAGTCCCTGCAAAAGAACCATTAGCAGCTAGGTGGTATCCCGTTTTGGTGGAGTAAATTCCTGATTTTTCAGGTAGCCAAATCAAGGAATCATGTAACTGTAAGTTATTGGTGTTGATAGATCTTATGGCGTCCTCATACTGAGGTAAAGTAGACCGGATGGCTGCTGGGTTCCACTCATTGGTTACCGGGTCCAGCAGGTCTTTGACTAGCATGGAGTCCTGTAAAGCTGTCGGTGGACCAAAGGGAGCTTGAGGGTGATGTAGAGAGAGCCACGGGTCTTTCCATACCTGGATCTTACAACCATCACCAATAGACCATCCCAAACCTTTTTTGAGCAACTCAAGACCGATGAGAATACCTCTCCAACCATGTGACGCTGAGGATGGGGAAGGGCACTCCAAGAAGGAAGAATGGTGGCAGTATTTGCCCAGTAATATCTTAGCCAATAGTGACTCAGGATTGTGGAGTAGGCGCCACCCTATCTTTGCTACGAAAGCGTCATTGAATGCTTCAATATCTTTGAATCCCAATCCCCCTGCAAATTTAGGTCTAGTTATCTTCTCCCACGCGACCCAACTCATTTTCCTTTTCCCTGGCTTGTCATCCCACCAAAAGCGCATGAGAACAGATTGTATTTGTTTGCAAAGTGAGCTCGGGAGTTTGAAGCATGACATTGCATACGACGGCATTGCGGTGAGAATGGATTGGAGAAGGACTTGCTTTCCGGCTCCGGAGAGAAAGCGGGATGTCCAACTGTGGGCTCTTTGTCGAATTTTGTCCACTATCGAAGAGAAAATATCTCGTTTCTTTCTACCAAAATGCTCCGGGAGGCCGAGATACTTACCAAGACCACCTTCTTGATTTATATTAAGCGCAAGCTTAACTTTTGATTTAGTATCTCCGGAGGTTTTAGCTGAGAAGGTAATGGCCGACTTATTGAGGTTGATACACTGCCCGGAGATGCATTCATATTGGTCTAGAATTCTCTTGAGAGCCAAGCAACAAGAAGCACTAGACTTACAAAAAAACATGGTATCGTCCGCGAAGAGGAGATGATTTATAGGGGGGCTAGTTCTTGCCACTTTGATGCCGGGAAGCTTACCATGAGCTTGAGCCTTAGAACATAACCCCGAGAGTACTTCCGTACAAAGAATGAATAAATATGGGGATAGAGGGTCTTCTTGACGAAGGCCTCTCGACGGTATAACTTGGCCTTGTGGGGTTCCATTGATAAGGAACTTGTATGATACAGTCCTAACACATTCCATTATCCAAGATATCCAAAGAGAATGGAATCCCAGCCTAAGGAGAACCGCCTCAAGGAATCCCCACTCGATTCTATCATACGTTTTACTCATGTCCGTCTTCACCGCCATTGAGCAATATTTCTTGGCTTCAGATGTGCGGAGGAAGTGGAGAACTTCGTGAGTTATAAGGACATTGTCGGAAATGGCTCGGTTAGGCACAAAAGCCGATTGATGTGGAGAGATGAGAAGGTGTAGAATTGGTTGGAGCCTCTTAGTAAGGATTTTTGCGATGATTTTGTAATGAACATTACATAAGGCTATGGGCCTGTAATCTCCAACCTTTCTCGGAGCTGTTCCCTTTGGGATGAGGCGAACATGAGTTTCATTATGGCGGGAGTTCAACTCGCTTGATTCAAAGAAGGCTTTAACTTCTCTGGACACATCCTCTCCAATAGAAGGCCAATAGGCTTGATAGAATTTAGAAGAAAAGTCATCTGGGCCTGGAGCTTTACTTGAATTTATAGCAAATACAGCTTCCTTAATTTCTTGTTGGGAAGGAATATCAATAAGGGAAGCATTCATAGCCTCTGTGATTTTTGGTTGAATAGCTTCCTCAACTAGCTTGAAGTTGGAGTTACCATTAGTGGTGAAGATGCCTTGGAACACTTTAGCTATTGTGTTTGCAATTTGATCTTCCTCAAAGACTTCCACTCCCTGAACATCTTCGATAACTGAGAAGGCATTGACAGCTCTTCTTCCTCTAGTAACCGCATAGAAGAAAGATGAATTGCGGTCACCACTGTGGAGCCAGTGAATGCGGCTTCTCTGTTTCCAGAAGCTTTCTTCCTCCTTGTAGGCTTTTTCCAGTAGCGCTGTAGTAGATGCAATTACGATAGGATCTGGAACATCCGCTGAGAGGGCAACTTCGAGAGCCTCCTGGTTTTGCTTGATGCTTAAGGTACTGTTTTTATGGTTCTCTTTCAACCATTCAATAATTTTCCTACGGCAGCGATCAAGCTTTGGTATGGTGGATGGGTTGTGATCCTGCGCCCAAGCTTTCTTGATCAGATCTGAAATTTCTTCCTTCTCAGTTAGGTTCCTGTCAAATCTAAACAGTCCCTTTTTTCGACGGTGGGAGTCATTAAAATAGGTCACAAGCGGCTTATGATCTGAGCCCTCAAATCTGAGATAACGGCACCTTCCCGATGGAATTTCTCTGCCCAAGAGCAATTAGCCATTGATCGATCAAGCCGAGATTTGATAAAGTGGCTGTAGCGATTCCCTCTCCAAGAGAAAGAATTTCCGGAGTGTTTGAGGTCCCAAAGTCCCTGCTGGGATACAAAGCTGCGGAAAGCCAGGAAGGATCCTTCCCATCTAGGAGGACCTCCAAATTTCTCACTGTTGTCCAGGATATCGTTGAAATCTCCGGTAAGCAATTATGGAGAATCTTTGTTTTCCCCCAACTCGGTCATTGAAGACCAGAACAGAACTCTATTTTCCATACTTGGGGCTCCATAGACAAAAAAAAATTTAAATGATGGAAATATATAGTCTAAATTGAAAACATGGTACCCAAATATAATACCACAAAACAATATTAAAATGAAACAAAATCTTTTTTTTAAATGGTGGAAATATATATCCTAAATTAGAAATAAGGAACCCAAATATAATAACAAAAATTTAATATTACAATAAATCAATATCTTTTTCTTTTTTTTTGATAGACCCGATCAGTTGATCCGGTCAGCCTCGGGGGGAACGCACCGAAGTGCTACCATGTGGACTCGTCGCCAACACCTAGGTGTTGGACTACCACACTGCCTAACCCCAAGTTTGGAATGCTTTCCGACTAATGCTCGAGGGTATCCAGTTAGCCTTATCCCGGATTACTATGTGAATTGCTTGGGCCAAGGCTCAAGCTCAGACTTCCCACACAAATGTGATTTTTGTTTTCAGGGTAGATCGAACATGGGTTAGTTCCTTCCAACTTTTCCCTCAATTCTCCCTTACCACTAGACCACAGCCGTGTGGGCATCAATATCTCTTTTAAATGGTGAAAATATATACCCTAAATTGGAAATAGATAACCCAAATATAATATTTTAATTTTTTTTTATAATTTATTTTGGTTGAATACTTTTTATATAAAAATTATGGTATTATTGGAAAAACTAAACTAGTGATGATACTTTTACAACAAAAACTTAATAGTGAGTCAACTAATGCTATTTTGGAAGTTTATGGAGTTGTGTGCTATAATGTCCATAAAACTTGTTTTAGTACTATTTTTGGAAATTTCTACAAAAACTTTCCGTATAGATTCTTACCTAGTTTATACTACCTCTGTTTCTTAGGGCTTGATTGGTTCTCCCGCTAGCATCCTCCTAGCGGTTACTAGCGGTCGGTTGCGGTTATTAGCGGTTGGTACCAATCATAGAAACCGCTCTGTACCGCTTCGAACCGTTCGAAATCGCTGAATTTCAAAAGCTCCTTCCCGCAAGCGTTTGCGGTTGCGGGCGGTAGCGGTTGGATTTTTTTTTTTTTTTTTTTTTTTTTAAAAATCCAAACGTTTACTTATAATTATTATAATATATATTAATCATATATAAATTTTTTATCTTTGTATCACGTTCTCATCAGAAACCCTAATAATATTCTAAAACTCTATTTCTCTCAATGTCTTCCATCCAAACTGATGAAAATCAATAACCAAACGTAAGCATCATATATCCTTTTATTCATTCATCACCTCATATGTAACTTTTTGAATATTTTTTCATGACATCGTTTTTTTTCTTTTCATTACGTATTGCTTTGCTTTTTGATTGAATATATGTTTCGATTTGTTTTCTCGAATAGAAACTCACTTGCTTTTTGATTGAATTCAACGTTATTTACAATTTGTCCCATTACTTGATGTTAAACCAGATGCATAAAGTACTATCTTGTTACAAAATTTATTTATTTTTGAATAATTATTTAGTTCTTTATTTATGGTTTTCATTATTAAGCATGTTCAATTTTTCTAATATTATCATAATAATATATTGGTGTTTTTATTTATTTTTTTGTAATATTTTTTATTTATTTTGGTCATTTTTTTATTTAACTGCTACCGCACCCGCTGGTTTACCAGTCATAAAACTCCCGCAAACGTACCCATTTTCAAACGCTAAACCAGTCGTTCAAAACGCTTGATAACGCTTGAAGCCGCAACTGCCTGCTTCCGCAAACTCCCGCAACCGCAACCGCAACCGCTGCGTTTAAACCAGTCAGGCCCTTAATAAGTGTTTCATTTTATTTGTTGTTTTTAATTTTCAATACAAAATTTATAATTATTTTATTATTTATAACTCTTGATATTCTGCAGTTTGTTTTTTCGTTGGTTAAATTGTTTATAAATAGATAATTAAATATATTTTAAAATAAAAAACAAAAAATTAAATAATTTTTTAATTTATGTGCTAAAACCTTAAACTACAATTAAATAGAAACAAAGCGAGTATTGAAATGCATTGCGTATATATATGTATATTACTCCCTCCGTTTCGTTTTAGTTGTCGTTTTAGGACTTAAATTTTGTTTTATAATAGTTGTCGTTTTAGATTTTCAATGCAAATGTTTGGTAAAAATTCCAATATTATCCCTATTGTTTTAATGTTTTGACCAATGAAAATTTTTATAAGATATATTAATAAAAAGTAAAACAGAAAATTTAATGTTTTTCTTAATTTGTGTGAGAAAACCTTAAACGACAACTAAAACGAAACGGAGGGAGTAGTAATTAATTGTTCGTATTTAAGCGACAAAAAAACATAAGTTGATTAGCGGAAAGCATGTGCTTTAGACCTCGTAAATGACATGTTTGTCTTAACTTGTGAGCACTCACTTGGTGTTGTTAAGCTTTGAAAGTTACAAAGCTTATCAAAAGATCATATCAAAGTAAGAATTGTCTAATATATACTTTTTTTTTTCAAAATATAAGATGAATTGGAGTTTCTTTTTATATTAAAATATAAAGTATTTTCACATTCCCATATATAAGAAATTAATTTATCTAAAAAATTAAAAAAGAATCAAATGATTGTTTCTCTTTAATTGGTTTTCATTGAATATTTTTATTAAAAAATAATATTTTGGTTAAAACCAATGAAACAGAGGGAGTCTGTAATTCTGTTACTTCTCAAATATAATAGATGGACCAGTGAGTTGAACATTATTAACCACTAAGTTTTCTTAATTACAACGTTCTTTACACAACAAAAATACTTATATTTTTTTTGGTGAATTAGCGCAGAGACATTATTTGGGAAAGAAAATTAGGTAAAAGACGTTAGTAGAAATCGTCAGAGACAAACTGAAAAAAAAAGAATATGTATGGGTCTGAAGTTCCATTTAATAACGAAAAAACCATATGTGCGTTTGGTAATGCGCGTGGTGAAGGATCGTGTCTCTTAAGGGAGCCGAAGGAACAACCTGCCATATAATAAATGCTGCCAGGTGAACTGACATCGCCGCGTCGACAAAAAGAACGAAGTGATCGTTAATAAATGCAATAGATCTTAACTTGAGCTAACTCAAATTTGAATATAGACAACTAACATAGTTGCATGGACACCCAATGAATATTTTACACGATTTTGACATTTGTATACAGATAAACATATACATAGATCGTTAGAAATAATTATGGTGTTAAATAGTACGGTCTATGTGTACATATAAATATATATATATATATATATATATATATATATATAAATCGTTATTAGCATTTATATATATGTAAATACGTACATAGAACGTTATTAACATTTGTATACATGAAAACTTGTATATAGACCATTATTAACATTTGTATACATATAACTACAAATATTTATTAGATATTCAATCTAATCGACGAGGAAGACAACATGCAAGATATATACATAGATTTACAAAATGTTTTAGACATCCACAACAAACATCAATTCATTTGTCTCACGCAATGGATCGATTCAAAGTCTAAATATCAGAAGCGAGTGGGATTAAAATTAGGCAAAATAGGGGCTAAAATTAGTGTTGTTCTGAGTCTTATGTCAGTTTACCAAAAAATTAAATAGCTCCTCCAATAACGTCTCTTACCCAATTATCCCTATTTATTTTATGTCATCAATGAAATTAAATAATCTCTAAGAAAGTAAATAAAAAACTTTAACAAAAAAGAAAGTAAATAGAAGACAAAAACTTAAAAGTCTCCAAAACAAGATCATCGTGCCCCTACAACATTTCACCTAACTTCAATAATCTGTCCCCAAGGAAAGTGAATTGCAATAATGTAAACTGGAACTTGATTATCTCCTTCTTTTATATATTTAGAACAATTACCTATAAACAGAAATAATCTCTCTTTTTTTAATAAGACTTAGTAATAGTTACTTTAAGCGATAAACTAAGGGCTGATTAATGGGTTCTTGTTTCTTTATTGTCTCCGCTATATTTTAAAACTTGAAAAAAAAAAAAAAACTATATTCATGGGTCGACATGTGTTTCAAACTGCAAAACACGTAGTTAGTTTTGTAATTCGGTATCATAAGTTGTTAAATTCGGGAAATACAATTGGAGAACTAGAACTGAAGAACAATTTAGATGATTTTGACAGCTAAAGTTAAATTAATTATTGGTTCGTCCTTCGAAACTTTCTTTATATGAACATTTTTTTTTTGTACAAGTTTCCGACGATATAACTAACTTGTATAGTCTATATATTTCATTCAAAATTTTGATACACTTTTTGTTCCTAGTAGATGGTTAAATACATTATAATTTCGTGTGTAGACGCCATTAATTAAAAATGAAGTTGTAGAGTAATTTTCGACATTCACGACACTACATCATCTAAATTAATAAATTATCCTTTGTCATAAGTTCGATATTTTAAAGATAAATCTTCCTTTATAATGTTAGTTTTGTATAAACATCAACTTAACCTACTTTCATATAAATCAAATTCGTGAAGAGGGGTTTTGAATTTGGTTAGGCAGCAAACTAGAGGTTACTGTTAGAATCTGAGTCGGCTAACCATAGTTACTATTTGAGAGAATTGCCCTAAGTTTCATTTCATGGTATCAGTTTATTTTGGCTCATTTTTTGTTTAAGGTGAAATTTATTTTCTATTTCATTTGTGAAACACTACATTTAGTTATTTAGTAGTAATATTTAATAAATACATACTGATATTCAATAAAAGTGTTTTGAATTTTATGATTAATATATAGAACTCTTTTCATACAATCAAGTGCGTGACAAAATGAATCTACAATGTGTTAATAATATATTATCAATGATATCATTAAGGAATTATATTCATCCAAAATATCTCTCTAACTTTTTTTTGTTAAATATTTTTATTAATTATAGGGTTAATTAGATTGATAGCATTTCGTTTGGTTATTTAGGTAAATAATTTTGGTGGAAAAGCCATTGATATCATAGAGGATGTAAGTTTTAACCTCATATTCACCCGTTTGAAACTATTTACTACTTAAATATGAATTATAACCTAGTTTAACTACCAAAAACATTATATGGCGACAAAAAAAAAAAGTTATAACACGTATGGAAAATTTTGTTAAAAGCTTTAAAACGTTGAAAAAAATAGCCGACATAGAATACGAGAGAGGGATACGATCGGGGGGGGCAACGTGGACCAACATGATAGACCCTCCAAATAGTCCTCAAATTGAAAACATTGACATGTTTCTCTTCTTTTTTTTTTTTTCTATGTATATTTTTTTTGTGTGGGTCACATTATTTAATATTTGTATACAAGGAGCCATTTTACATGGAGATTTCCTGTCGGTATAGCGTCCTCATTTCTCCATTGCTTCCACTTTTTTCCTATTCTAATTTGATTTAATTTATATGTCAAAACATTATTCAAAATGCCAATATATTTAACATTAAGAAAATGAAACTCGTAATAGTTGCTTGTATCAATTTTACCGCCGTCTCTCCATTCATACTTAAATTTAGTAGATTAAGAAACTGCTATTTATTGACAAAATAAATCCGTTTATATCTAAATTTTAGAATCACTAAAACTTTTAAAAAATCAAAAGAAAACCCATGTTGGTAAATCGGATAATGAAAATAATTAGAATCCCCCTCTTTTGTGCATTTTGGCGTCGCATGAAACTATATATAAACATGCATTCACTCTTAGACTTCTCGTAGCTTGCCAACAACAACGCGCTCGATCTATCTATCTCTCTCAGCCTCTCTCACAACTCTTTCTCTAGTTCTAGAGTTTTCAATTTATTGTTAAGTCTTTTATTAAAAAAAAAACAAGAACAAAAGAAATGGTTCTATTGTCAAGAAAAGCTACATGCAACAGCCATGGCCAAGACTCTTCGTATTTCCTTGGTTGGGAAGAGTACGAGAAGAATCCTTACGACGTTATGAAGAACCCTCACGGCATTATCCAAATGGGTCTTGCTGAAAATCAGGTAAACAAATATTATTCAACTGCATGTACACTAATATAAATCAAAATATATTTATGTATTCATGACATAAAGACTAATTAAAGTATGTTTAATTTTATTGGACTTCTGTAGTTATGCATTGATCTACTAGAGTCATGGCTTGCACAAAACACAGACGCAGCCTGTTTCAAGAGAGATGGCCAGTCTATTTTCCGGGAACTCGCTCTCTTTCAAGACTACCATGGCCTCTCTTCCTTCAAAAATGTAAGATTATTATTGTATATATCAATCAATGAGTATCAAATTTATTTGCAGTTTGCTGATCTTGCTCGAATGATTTTCAGGCCTTGGCTGATTACATGTCAGAAAATAGAGGAAACCGAGTTTCTTATGATTCGAACAACCTTGTGCTCACTGCTGGAGCCACTTCCGCAAACGAAACTCTAATGTTTTGTCTTGCAGATCCCGACGACGCTTTCTTGCTTCCCACGCCATATTATCCAGGGTTAGTACACTGTTTGCTTACACGTAAAATTTCCATCATGACTACAAACTTTACCTAACTAAAACCCCTGTATACTTTTACACTTCAGGTTTGATAGGGATCTAAAATGGCGAACCGGGGTTGAGATTGTACCAATCCAATGCTCAAGTACTAACGGGTTTTGCATAACGAAACTTACACTCGAAGAAGCCTACGAGCAAGCCAAGAAGCTTAACCTAAACGTCAAAGGAATACTTATTACCAACCCATCTAACCCTTTGGGCACGACAACAACCCAAACCGAACTCAACATTCTATTTGATTTCATCACTATGAATAAGAATATACATTTAGTAAGTGACGAGATATATTCAGGCACAATATTCAACTCTTCAGAATTTGTCAGCGTCATGGAGATTCTAAAAAATAATCAACTCGAAAACACCGATGTTTTGAACCGTGTCCACATTGTTTATAGCTTATCTAAAGATCTAGGCCTCCCTGGTTTTAGAGTTGGAGCCATTTACTCCAATGACAAAGATGTCATCTCTACCGCTACAAAAATGTCGAGTTTCGGCCTTGTCTCCTCCCAAACACAATACCTACTATCCTCATTATTATCTGACAAGAAGTTCACTAAGAACTACCTTCGAGAGAACCAAAAACGGCTCAAGAACAGACAAAGAAAGCTCGTGTTGGGTCTAGAGGCCATAGGGATCAAATGTCTGAAGAGTAATGCCGGACTCTTTTGTTGGGTCGACATGAGACCTCTCCTTAGCTCTAAAACGTTCGAAGCGGAGATGGATCTTTGGAAGAAGATTGTTTACGAAGTGAAGCTCAACATCTCTCCTGGTTCGTCGTGCCATTGTGAAGAACCGGGTTGGTTTAGAGTTTGTTTCACGAACATGAGTGAGGAGACATTAAAGCTTGCTTTAAAGAGATTGAAGAAGTTCGTTGATGATGGAAACTCAAAGAGGAGTTGCCAAAAGAGTGAAAGCCAAAAACTAAAAGGTTTGAGGAAGAAGACGATGTCAAATGTCTCTAACTGGGTTTTTCGACTATCGTTTCACGACCGTGAGGCTGAAGAATTGAACGATAGTCCGGTTTTTATTTTAAAGTATAATTTTTTTTTCCCCTCCAAACTCTCAAGTGATGATGTAATTTTTTTAACTGAAAATTACCCAGATTGACTCAAATTTAGAGATTAATAACTAGATTGACACCCTAGTTTTGTAGTTTACTAGACTAACACAAATTTTGGGTAAAATGACCAAAAACCCAATTCAATTTTATTAGGCTTTAAAAAAAAATCAAACAATATAACATTTAAATTAGAATTACAAAACCCTAACAAAACAAAAAAAACCAACTAGCCCTAAATTACGACTGCCTTTCACGTTTTTTTTCTCAGCCTCATGTTTTTTTTCTCAGCCTCATTGATTAAAACTCAGTCACTTTCGCGACTCCGACGAAGACTTACGATTTGTCATTCTTAAAATATGTAGTCCATCATGAAAAGTCTGTCATCAAATAGGTATATAAAATCTGTCATAATATGAATAAAAATTAAAATCTGTCATTGCTTAAAACATATCTGTCATCACTATATGAAGTCATTCCAGCAATTTCTTTTTTCATCACTAAATCTGTTGTAATGTGACAGTTTTTTTTGAACTAATCATAAATCTGTCGTAATGTAAATAAAATCTGTCATCACAAAAATATTTCATTTGCGATTGTATGTCAATCTAGCAATTTTTTTTTTGTATGACAAATCTGCTATCACTCGACAGTTTTTTTGTTTAAAAAATAAAAACTGTCATAACATTAAAAAAATATGTTATCACTACTAAGTCATTCTAGTAATTATTTTTCCAAAAACAAATCTGTCACTTGATGACAGATATTTTTATGAAAATAAAAAGTCTGAGGCCACTATAAACATAAATCTGCCACTAATTTTAATAAATCTGTCAAAGTGATGAAAGTCTGTGGTGTCATCAAAAAATAAGTCTGTAGTGGAGTAAAAAACTACAACAAAATAAATATATGTCATAACTTGTTAAATTAAGTCTGTGAGAGATAAAAAATCTGTCACAAAAAATCTGTCGTTGATAAATAAGTCTGCCATTGAAAATAAACCTGTCATAACGAATCCAGCAGACTTTTAAAAAGCCAAAAAAATTTCCTAAGTTTTTTTCACGTTTTTCGAAAAAATTTGAGGGCAAATTTGAATTATTTTTTTTTCCTAACAAAGAGAGAAAGGGTATTATCGTCATGAAAATAACTCATCTAACCTCCTAATTTTATGAGACATTCTAGTAATTAAAATCATTATTTGGGTCAATCTAGTAACTTTCCCTTTTTTTAATCACCAGAACTATATTTTGGTATATACAGTTGTTGGAGAGAAAGTGTAAACTGTAAGTGCGAATGAGTTAATATAAATTGCAGAAAGTAAATGAGACAAGAATTTTGTTAACGAGGTTCGGTTTTTCCTATTCTCCGGGACCAAGTCCAGATTCGATTTCACTAGAACAAGAAAGCAAATTACAACCAATTCGCAAACGCGTAAAACAAGCACAACCCTCTTGATTTACCGCTCCCTTCTATAATGTGAAACCTTAAGGATAATCTCTACCCTTAACTAAACTTTCCCTGAGTCTAGATTTAATCAGGTAACCTAATCCTGAGCTAAACTCCCCTTGAGCCTAGACTTCAAAACAAAACCACTTGATCACACAAGCACAAAACCGCAAAACTATGTTGCACACAATTTATCTCACAGAAAGCTCTCAATGATTTTTCTTTATGCCTCAGCTCTCTTGCCTCTCAAAGACGTCCTCAACTCCTCCTTATATAGCCAAAACGATTTCTTAATCACCATAGGAGAAGATTTCCAATTTTCATAAGGAAAAGTAAATTTCCTTTAGACTTTTTCTTTTCTTCATTAAACTCCATTTTTATCAAGTCTTCCAAATCTCTTTAAGTCCTTTTTCCTTTGTGATTCATCCTCTAAACACGCTCCAAACATATTTTCTCAAACCTTCTAGAAACCGACACTCACACAAAAACAGCAGCCTCTTGAATTATTTCTTGAATCATTCAGCGATTCTATCAGACATAATCTTGTATTACTTGTATTACTTCTTGACTCATTCAACAACTCCATCAGCAGCAACTATATCTTATTCGAGGACTACTTTTCATATAGTCTACCACTGATTTTGCAAATTTTCTATGCCTGAGCGTTCAGGTATTCGGGTCGGTTTGGATCGGGTTTTTTGATCGGGTTCGGATCGGGTTCAGGTCGGGTTTTTAGGGTTCGGATTCGAGTTTACCCAAAGTATCCAAAAATCAAAATTTTTGAATCCAAATCTGTTCAACCTACTTGAAAATACATAAATTATCTAAAAACCCTGAGTATTATTTACCAAAATCTATCTAAAAATAGCTAAAATATCCAAAATACCTTAAAATCCAAATATTTAAGACACTAAGTTATTGTAAATATAAATATTACTAATATATTGTTATATTATGTATTTATATTTCGGGTATGATCGGGTACTTTTTTGAAACTAGGCCAGATAAAATTTGTTCACAATGAGCAAACCCAAAATCTTTGGGTTCGAGTTCGGCGCGCTACAAGAAAACATGGATTTTCCGACTACATCTGATGACTACATATGTAGTCGCCAAAATTTACGACTACATAGCGACTATTCGGCGACTATTTTACGACTACAAATATTTGGTCGTCCATTAGTCGCTTTTTAACGACCAAAGGGAATAGTCGGTAATTTAGTCGTAATTTAGCGACTACTTTATGACTACATTACCAATAGACGCAAAATAGTCGCTAATTTGGTGACTAATAAACACGTATTATTCGTTTTGGTGTTTTTGTACCGGTTTTATGCGACTACAATACATAGTCGCCATTTGGTGGATTTGTAGTCGCTATTTAGTCGCCATAAATGTCTATATAATCAAAATTCACCTATTTCCCTAAACCTAAAACACAAAACTCTAAATTTCTAAACTCAAAAAACTATCTACTTACTATAATATATTCAACAACTGAGATCTAATACTTATAAAAAATCGTAGTTTTCAAAATCTTATTTGTTTTAATCAGAACTTAACCCCAAATCTTAAACCTAAATCCCAAACCCTATACTTCAAACCCTAAAGTTAACTTCCGAACCCTAAACCTTAAATTTTAAACTCTTGTAATGCATATATATAAATTAAATCGTAAACCATTCAACCTAAATATAACCATCATATATGTATAATAAGAAAATATGTAAAACTATATAGTATTTACATATAAATTAATCTTTCCAAAAACTATTTAGTTATAAAATTTATTAAATGTAGTCATTTTAAAACCTAAAATGGTAGCTCTATGAGACGGAGACTTAGTAAAGTTACAAATAAGTCCTAAATTACCCACATATACACGATTTATTTGCGACTAATACCTATTCATACAATTTTGTTACCAATAGACAATTTTAGCCACCCTAGCGATTTTATTTAGAGATTTACCAATAGAAAGTTGTCAATATGTAAAGTATCAAGGTTTGTACATTTATTTGAACTACTATACATAGTGATTCATCATAATAGCAAAACTTACTTAAGTGGGAAATATATGATGATAATTGATAACTAATGGTTTTGAAATTTCTTTAAACATAGTTCAAAAACTAAAATAAACTCTAAACCTTAAATCTTTAACTTTTGATCATAAACCATAAAATCAAAATATAACCATTTTAAACTATATACAAATATTTTGTTTAAATTTAGTCACTTTTTAAATTATAAATCACAAATATAAAACTCTAAACGAATAATGTAACCGACGGAAAAAAGGTGGATCATGTAACTATTATTTATATAATTTTTTGAATTTTTAAATCTGAAAATTGTGATATTTTTTTTAAGTGTTTGATTTCATTTTTTTTAAGTCCCAGAATATGTTTATATTCAAAACTGAAATTAAACACTTTAAAAAAAATCAAAATTTTCAGACTTAAAAATCTAAATGATTTTAAATCTAAATCATATCTAAGTTTTACAGATCTTAAACCCATGTATCCAAATTATAAATGACAAGGATTCCCTTTGGTTTATTATGAACCGTTGATAGAGTCAATCCAACGACAGAATCCTCTAAATTAAACACTTTGAATTTACCGCCTTTAGTAGTTTCCGACAAATTCCCGACGAAATACATCGTCGGAAATTTTTTCTATATATACCAAATGAGTTTTCATCCATTCTACAATTCCAAACACAACAATCTCAATCTCTATTAACATCTTCTTCTCTCTACTTCAAACATCATTCCTTCTTTTTAAAGTTCAACATTTTCATTCTCTTGTTCAATTAATAGAGACATTTATGTATTTATATATTTATTCATTTTAATTTTAATTCTCATTTTCTGATAATGTGATAATGAAAATTGGTTATGTGACAATTAATCTATTTTTGTAGATGTTCAATAATTATTTTAATTATAACTATAATACTCTTATTTGTTTTTTTGTTTAAAAACAAAAAAATAGAAAAGTCGTCGGAAATTTTGTCGGAACTAATTTCGGAACTTTCCGACAAATTTCCGACAAATATTTCCGACGAATAGTTTTCGTCGATAATTTCCGACGAATTTCCGACCACTTATGGTTTCCGACCAAAGAATTCCGACGAATTTGATTTTGTCGGAAATGTGTCGGAATATGCTATTTCCGAAATTTCCGACCAATACCGTCGTCGGAAATTGTAATGTTTTCTTGTAGTAATTCGGGTTCGGGTTTGAGTTTTCGAGTTTTGAAGTTTAAAACCCGTTCGAGTATTTTAAAATTTCAGGTTCGGATTTGGATCGAGTTTTTTCGGATCAGGTTCTGGTCAGTTCCTAGTATTCGGGTATTATGTTCAGGCCTAAAATTTTCCACGAAACATAAAAACCCCTTATTTAAATATGCTCGTTATTTGGATTTATATTAATTTTGTTCGGCTGATTAAGGGCTAGATTTCACTTGTGGTCTCTTATTTAAGACAGACCCATCCCAACGATAAGACCAAAATATATTTTGTATTGTTTTCTTATTTAAAAAGAGAAAACATTCACGATTTTTTCCTGCACATTAACCAAGAAATTTATCTATTCATTTTTGCTTCTTATGATAGTTTACAACTGGAGAAAAATTAATCTTTACTTCCATTTCGTTTTTGTAAACATTTGATGATATCTGAATTAAATAAACTCCACGTATTGTAACATGTAATCCACGCCTATACTGCTCCTCTTATTCTCTAATGTTATACCATTGATAGATTTATCATATTATTTTTTGAAGAACACAAACTCACCCAAAAAATAGAGGAGTAACGTAACTATAAATCGTTAAATAATAAATAGGGCATGAAGGGTCGATATCAGGGACCTCTTCGTCTCCGTTCAAATACCTAATCACCTCCCGGAGACGATCTCTAAAAGTAAAATACCAAACGCGAAGACGAGGAAACTCAGTTATTAATGACCTCAGGCGCAGTGTAGCCTTTGCTGCCCATGACAACCGTGGTGAGACCCGCGTTCGTAAAGCCTAGCGAGCCCGAAATCTCCCAGTCTAGCTAGGGTTCATATCTTCATCAATTAGAACGTTGCTTGGTTTGACGTCTCTATGAACAACGATTTGTTCCCACTCTTCATGGAGATACAACAAACCAGAAGCGATTCCTTTAGCTATCTGAAAACGCACGTCCCAGGACAAAACAACACCGGTTTGTCTCGGTACACTGTAGAGCAGCGAGTATAAACTCCCTTGTGGGATATAGTCGTAGATTAACAGAAGCTCACTTTTGTGTTTGCACCATCCTCGAAGCTTGACCAGATTCTTGTGACTTAACCGTCCCAAGCTCTCGATCTCTTTCGCCACAAGCTCTCGGTATATATATACCCTATGTATTTTAATTTATTTTGTGTGTTTTTCGGAATTTGTTTTCGAAAATATGTTATACAAAAAAAATGTATGAGCTTAGCTTCTCGTTATGTATTTTTTATTAGAATAAAGAAAGTATAAAACACACTTTAATTTTCATTTTTAAGCTTAGTAAACCTATGGTTTGAGTCAAAAAGTCAATACTTTTTTTTGTGAAGATATTAGATAAATAATTAATAACTTAAATCCCAACAACAATCTCTAGAAAGCATTGAACACCTCCTGTTCTGCTGGGGACATTCAAGGAATCAAAGCAAGGATCTCCCAAGGAAACAAGGTTTTATACTTACCACAAGTGGGTCTCACATGTGGTCCTTTGTTCCCTTGGATCTGCTGGACTTTGTGGCTTACCAGAAACAAAGAAATCTTCAATGCTAGAGTCTTCTCTCCTGAAGGAACAGTTCTCAAGGCTATCCAAGACGCTAAGGGATGGCAAGCGGCTCAAGTTCTGAGCACTCCAACCGGCGGCTTCCAACATCTTCCTCTGCTAGAGGATTGCCAATATCCATAACTGATGAAGCATAGCCAATGGACCTAAAAGCAGCAGAACTCAGCTGGATCACCTTCTCCTCCCGGCATGATGAGCCAGAATGCCACTCCTCCATTTGTATTAATGTGCTAATTGCTATCATTATGTAGTATGTGAATGTGATTACAGTATTAAACAGTGTTGGATTTTGTCGACAAGAAACTGATGGATTTTATAATTTATAATTTTCTCCGAGAAACACGTTACTATTTGGTCTTTTTGACTTTTTAATATTAGTGGATTATAATAATGAAAGATATTGTTGCATGTTATTACAAAGTCATTTTGACTTTTTAGTTATTGATGATAAATAAATAACTATATCATCATTTTACAACGATGACATCTGCATATTGCCACTTCGTTCTCAATGTCACATGTGCCGCTTCTATAAGCACCAGTATTAATGCAATTATCTTCACATAGAGTACTACTACAATATAAAAACTTAAGATGCCGCCTCGCCCATAAGGTTCGACCTTCTATACACGACACCTTCTGAGTCATTCTCATTCCATTTGATATTCCTATAACATTGTTAATCAATATGTAAGAAATATTCAAATATTTTTGAGTAAAATTAAAATGCATATATATTGGGCCTGTTTGAGCTATTGTATATATATATATCGACATATATAAGTCGGTTTATTATAGTAGGTCAATTACATACTTGTGTATATAAAGGAACTTTGTCGTCGAATGGTATCAACAAGAAAACCTTTACAACTACTAAGGCTTCTTGACAATATAATTCTCTTAATTATAATTGATCGAAAGATATTTTTTTAGAATGAATTGATCGAAAGATATTATATAGAGACATTCATAAATCATTTTGGTTTTGATTGTTGATGTTTATGTTTACAAGTGAATATTATATATAGAAATATTAAATTAAAAGTTTGAAAAACGGAGCATTTTTTGTTTGTTTTTTTTTTGTCAACCATTTTTTGTTCCTTTTTTGAAAATAAAGTTTCAAAGCTTTAATGCAAATTCTAAACGCACAGAAAGTTGTTTTCTTGTGTTTGGCAGTTACAATTAGTTATTGAATTACGTAAAAGATATTTAAGATTATGAGTTTATTTGAAAATAATATGCACTGTTAGAAATTCAAACACAAACAATAAATCTCACTTTGACGAGGTTCAAACATCATAATGTATACCTGTTAGCACCAAGAAAATCACCAAGCAAGTGATGAAACCGAAATCATTTGCAGCTTTAGCCATTTTCATTTGTAACTTGTTTTTCTTTTCCAGTAATATATAGATATATGTACGCATCATATAGTTGTTTTATATAATGAATTTCTTTCTCCTAAAAAAAAGAATTTCATCCATGAAAAATGCCTATAAATTAGTTAGAACCTAAAAGAAAAATAGAAACTTAATGGACCACAGATTTTTCCTATTATTTCCTATTTTTAGTTAATTTTGATTAGTATATTTCAAAATCTGCAACTATGTATATGAAAATAATAGATAATATTAATATCTTTTTTAAAGACATATTATTACTGATGGTGGCCGAATAGTGATTTTATTAGTCAAAGAATAACACACATCGTATCGCTCGTAGGCTTCTACGCCTTCTTTCGGCTCATAAGCACCACACTTTTCTAATGTTCTGTGCGCCACTCTAGGAGGCTCGAAAATTAAACTTTTTTAGTGGCTCGACAATTAGAGAGCGAGAAACATAGTTAAAAGCACTAAGCCACTAACCAACCTTCTTTTCTCTAGCTTGGCTGATTAGTAGGTTTTCTCTGAGTTGCTCAGATTCAGGCTATCCACTTAGTCATCATACATACCTCTGTTTTCCCTTCGTCTTCCTTGGAATCACTCGAGGTTTGAAAGTAGGGACATGGTATCACTTTGTAAAACACGTTCTTGTCAACCTTTATTCTAATAAATCTTATTCATTTTTGCTTTTTAAGAGTTTGATTGACAAGTGCTTTACAAGCAAAAAAAAAATTAAAGCTTTGAAATAAATTTAATCAATTAACTTTAGAAAATTTGACTTTTCTTTTTTTACTCACAACCAAAATATTTCCTTACTTAATTTCTTTTTGCTGTAGAAAGCATTTTTTTTCTAAAACACACAATTTTAATCATTCCAAAATTTTAAGTTCTACAACCTAATATCTACAGCCAAAAATCTAAACCCACAACCAGAACCAATCAGTCCGTAAGATAATTTACAACCATGCCCAACTCTACAATAAGGCAAGTAAAGCTAATGCATTAGGCCACAAAATATTGTATATGCTATAAAATCAATTACGGATTTTGCCATTTTTAGAGTGGCATTTGTTGATTATGCTATTTTTTGAATAATTTGTAGATTTTGTCATTTTTCAGACATATGATTTAACATGCGTTTTACCCATTACGTTTGGGTTTAGTCGGTTCCATTTGTTCTTAGGGTTTAGTATTTGTTATAATGTATTTTTGCAAAACAAAATCGTAAATACGTACATTCTTAAATGTTAAAAAATGGCATTTCCGTAAAATTTTAGTAAAAATGGCATTTTCGAAAAAAATTTCAAAAATTGGCATTTTGAACAAGGATCCCTATCCTATATTTTAGGGCCACATTTTTTAAAAGGTTATTTTGTATGATGGTTGTGTAGTCTCAAAGAGTATATTAGAAGTTCCATGATCGAGACATTTTTTGGATATAATAACTTAGTTTTTTTGAATAATATTTTTCTTTCCTTATGTATATATTTTACTCCTTAATTCTCTGTATTTCTTCTTTCCGATAGTATTCATTTTTCGATAGTATTCATTTTTTTCCTTCATGAATTTATTTTCTATACAATAAGGTAATAATTTTTTTAAATCAAATCTAAAATGGCAACAACAATTTTGGAAAAGAAAGAAGAAAAAATTAAAATTAAAACTAATCTTCGACAAAAGAATATTTAATATTTTTCACTAAATATATTAGTAATATTATTAGTGTTTTAATGTCAAATTTTTCCCGTTAATATTTATATAAAAGAACATAATTATTAAGTGTGCTTTAGGTCGCTTTAAGCTAAGGACCGGTCCTGCGAGGGAGATTAGCTTCTCTCCTTGCAGAGTGTCTTGTCTTCTTAGCCCTCATGAATCTGATTTCGGAAGGAATCAAAGGAAAGAGCTGAAAAAATCGAGCTTTAGTTCGGAGAAAGGAGAAACAACTGAAATCCATCGAGAGTGATGAAAAAGTTCTCTCTAAATGAAAAATTCTATTTTTTTAAAGGTTGAAGTAGATATCGAAATTAATGTTCCATTTTCTATTTTCGAAAAAAAAATCCTTTAAAGCAATGGCAGTTCTGTAAATATGGGATGAGCTGAGGGATAAAAATGCATAACTGCAGTAAAAACTACCTTTATGGACATCCAAATTAAACTACCCAATCTCTTAAATATAAACACAAAAACTACTTACTCACCCAATTTTTCCTAACAAATATCCTCAAGATGCGAAAACAACTCTCTGATGCGATATTTCCGAGACACCACAAGTTTCACCGCCTTCCGGCGCCGGTGTAGCTATGGCTCACCGGCGTCGGACCTTGTCTTCTCTTTGCTGATCCACTCCTCTCCCGAAGAATCCAACCTGGTTTCATCTCAAGTTTGTAAAGTCTTTCCCATATCCTCTCCGCTTCCCTTCGATGTGTCTCGTCGTTTGCAGATCTGGTTGCTTTTCTTCTCTCTGCCGCGTGATTCGACTCATCCAGGTGATGCCGATGTTTGTTGTTTCCTTGTCATCTCTTACCGTAGCTCTTTACCCTCTCTTGATCTCTGTGATCGATGACCCTGCCGCCTCTGTCAACCGTCACCGCCTCATGCTCTACGCCTCGCTCGGATTAGGTCAGAGCCCCTCTCTTCAATTTTGAAGGAAGGGTTTAATTTAGGCTTAGCCCATTTTGGGCCTTATGGATTTTGTTGTGGCCCATTAAGCTTTTTGGGCTGCAAGCTTGCTGTTTTGACCTGCCTTACTGTTGGGCAACATACATCATCAACGCCCACCACCATCTCGAGCTTCCTCCGTTTTCCCTGTGTCACCTGATGTGTTGCGTTTTTAACGGTTTCGAGTCTTGGTTTAGTCCATGTTTTGAGTCATCTATCGTATCAAAGTCCGTCTTTTGCGCCTTTTCGGTTGTGTCTTGAGTCCTTTGCAGGCTATAGGTGCTCGAGCTGGATTCGGAGCATCTTGTGCATGATTGAGCCTATTCGGAGCTAAAACAATGGAGAAACGGTACAAGAGATCACCAGGAGCTGGGGATCGATCGATCCAAGGCGTGGATCGATCGATCCCAATTGTGACGATGAAACCAAAAGTTCCAGTCGCTCGAGATCGATCGATCCCAGGAGGGGATCGATCGATCCAACCCTCATTCGTCCGAGACAATTGATTCAGCATTTCTGGATCGATCGATCCACCCATGGGATCGATCGATCCAACCCTCATCCGTCCAAGACCGTGATTCAGCATATCTGGATCGATCGATCCACCCATCGGATCGATCGATCCGAGCCTCGACGCCCGAGACGGTTTTCCTAAACCGGGTTTTGTCTTCCTTTTTTTTTTTGTACTTGGGTATAAAAACCCCAGAGACCTAATTTTCTTTTCACGTTTTTTTTCTGCAATTTTTCTGAGACTTCTCTCTTGTAAGCAACCTTGGGATTCTAGAGATTCATCCTCTTTGACAATTTGGAGAAGATTTCTAAACCCTATTTCTTATTTTCATTGCAATTCAATTATGTCTTCTTCATCTATTTGTCTTGTTTCTGTTGCTATGTGTGAGTAGTCTTTTAATTAGGTGTTAGGGTTCTAATTAGGAGATTCGATAGATTAATGGATTAATTGTTGTTTGGAATTCTCATTCTCTAGGTTCTTTGATTCACATGTTCTTAATGCTAGAATAGGATTGATCACCCTGTTGTAGAACCTAGGTTTTTCTATGCATCAAAAGTGTTCGATAGAATGCCTGAAAGAATGTGAATTGAGCAATGTATTTCTAGCCAACGAAAGTTGAAGTTAGGACGCATTGTGAACTAAATGAACTTGTTTGATAATGCGAATTTGACTAGGAAATTACATGCGAAAGTTTAGTAATCGAGTAGTCAAATTTAGTGATTAATGTCTTGAAAGAGAATTAGTCTAAGTTGTGTTCATGTTCAAGAACGGTTCGTAATTGTTGAATTCCTTGTCCCATGTTTCCATTGTTTATTGATCTCTGAAATACCCTAATGCCTAATGTCTTTAAATCTTGAAACTTAAATCGTTTAATTTAATTGCATTTTTATTTTACAATTCGGAAAACTCAAACAAAACAACTTTTTAGTTTTAGCTAAGAACAAGTCTCGAAAATCCTTAGAGTATCTTTGGTCTTTGTGGATCGACCTCGAATATACTGCCTAACGGTTAAGTGTATTGAGTTAATTACTCGAGCAATCAAGTTGGCGCCGTTGCCGGGGATGATATGGTGTGGCTACCTTGTGCTTAACACCGTGCTTCGCCACCTTCACTCACCGGTTCACCGCATACTTCTCCGGGTTCCCTCTACCTATATCGGATACTTCTCTGACATGCCCAATTTGCCTCTGATCTAGAACCACCTTTGTTTGTTCGGATCCCGTCAATATTCGGCCAAGTTTGCTCACCGGATATTTCTTTGGCATCTCCATGCCTGCATGTAAGGCAGGTCCAGGTTGTTCCCAACCTAAAACCACGTTTGCTGGTTCGAATTTCAACGGCTTGGTCACCTCTGTTTTGACAGCCAATTTTAAGATTGTTCTATCCGCACTAGTTGCAGATTCAATCTCGAGCAACATAGCACGTCGTGTGTTTTGTGTTTTCCGAAGCATCATTTCTCTTATTCTCTCTAGTGTTATCAAGGTCTGAGGACTCCGCGATGACGATTATTGTTTAAGCGTTAGGATTGTTTTGATATATTATTTTATCTGCTTTTATATTGTGTATCGATTTTTTTTTGGTTCAGGGAGTTTGATTTCTTTGGCTCTTCCCTTTGTAACATTTCTCTCTTTGAGGACGATTAGTATGGTATAAAATTTTGGTGAAAAGAAAAAAAAACACATAAATGTTAGTGTCAGACCTCGTATTTCATCGGATCCAGGAGAAAATGGGTTTAGTATCTTCTCTAATGGGCCGAACCCATTAGTAACATCTCTGATCAGTAATGGGCCGAGAAAGAAGAAGTCCGTTAGAGCCTATGTCAAAGTCAAAAACCTTTCGTTTCTACATAACTGCTAAATATTTCCTAGAGGTGTCAAACGGGCCGGCCCGCGTCCATCTGGGCCGGCCCGCGTCCATCTGGGCCGGTCTGCGATGGGCATTTAAATTTATGAGACCGCGGCGGGCCGGCCCGCGGGCTTAGTTTTAAATATTTTAAAAATAATTAAAAAA